AATTCCAGTAATGGGGGATTCTAGTTGTTGTACTGTGAGCATTGATGTCAGGCTAGCTGTATAACTTGAGTTGATTATTAGGACTATAAAAAGCCAGATGATCAGCACCATCCGACCTAGTGTGCTCACCGTATTTTCTCCTGAAAGTTCAAAGATGGATCTTTTAAACACACTTTCAAGTTCTTGGTATAAGAACACAACATGTAGTACCAAAATTGAACTTACTATGAGCAAAAAACATGGTAGAGAAGCTAAACCTGAAAAACAACAGAATGAAGGCAGATGAGTAAAAGTTGTTATAAGTTTATTTGCATTCAAATTCAATATAAGTTCAACTTTCATGAGCTGCAGCTTTCGTGCCACCGCGAATCATAGCCTACAAATTAGAAAGTATATGCAAAAGCCGGGTCAGAATGTTCAATGTACAAAGTGCTTACCATAAGATTGTGACAATCTGTTTCCTAGGAGGGCCCCTGAACTCATCATTTATTCTATGTTCCAGAATCCACATGACTAATCCAATGATCAGGAAGAAAGCTGCTGTGACAGCCCACATCAGTGGACTAAATGGCTTTAAGAATGCCCAAGCTCTCGAATTTAACCTCCTAACTGGAGCCACCACAACTAGCCCTGACTCTATATATGGCTGAGTGAAATCCACAATCTTTGTCCGGTTGGTGACGATGGCAATGTCACCTACAGCAGCATCAAACTTCTGCAAAACAAAGTCTTAAATCAGATAGAAGTTTTATGGGCCAACATTTTCTTTTTCTTTGAGAATATAAGTCAGTATCTTGTAATTGTTAAATTTTACTTACTCCTGATGCAATCATGTTTACAAACTCGTAGTAGCTCGGGTTCTTGAGACCATCACCAAACAGAACAAACTCATATGGAACTGCATATGGAAGCAACTTTATAGCTGCAAGGAATATATCAATGCAGTATCCTTCAACTATATCAGTACCATTTCTTCGTGATACAAAGTCTCGATAGCTAACTCGATTAGGTACTCCAATTCTTAATTGCTTTCCATTGTTTGGAAAAACCCACCCACGAGGCTTGACAGTTGTCCCTCCAGGCCATACAACAGTGGGTAAGTGTTGGTTCAAAGAAGACCAGTTTGATGATGTCTCAGGGGGCACAACAGATATCCCGGAATAGTTAGACCAGTATCCAATTCTTTGATATCCATTTTCAATTATGTTAATGAGATCATATGCAGGATTCAGTGGAGATCTATCTGGATGAAATGCTATAGGACCAGTCAGGCCGGTCGTATTGGTTTGCAATATGTTGTCCAGCAACTGCTTCCCACCATGAAAAATGCTCAATGCACCAAGGTTCACAGTCCCTCCTCCCTTAGGACCACCTAGACTAGTGATGTTGGAAAAGGAAATGGTGCCCCCTTGATCCAAAAGCAAATTTATAGCATGAGCAAGCATCCAGACAGTGTCATAGGCATATAGACCATAAGGGTTCAACCCAATAGAGCCATTACTCAACTTGTTCCACCTTGATATGAAAGCCCTTTTTCTTTCTGAGTCTGGTGTGTGTGGTCTAAGAGTGAGAGCACCTTGGATAGAGTTGGCAGTCTTTGAAGAAAGAGGTGAAGTTGAATCTAAAACAGTGGATAGCCAAGCAGTAGCTATCCATACATATCCACTCTCCATCATCCCAAGTTCCTGGGCGACATCAAAAACTACGAGACCTGATTTGGCGAATGTGTGTAGAACAATCACTCGAGACTCCATCATTCGAATCATTACCAACTGATTTTTAACATCATCTCTAGTTGCTTTTGGGTCAGGTGGCAGTGCTGCCTTGTAACAAATCTTGTGGCGTTTTTCTGCAAGTTTATCACCTAATGCAGCAACACCATTTCGACCGCTGTCATCATCAGTGAAAATTGCAGCCACCTCTGTCCAACCGAAATAACTAACCATGTCTGCAATAGCAGCCATCTGGAACAGATCATTGGGTGCAGTTTGAACAAAGTAAGGGTACTGCAGACTTGATAAGGTGGGGTCCAGCGCTGTGAATGACAATAGAGGGACATGAAGTTCATTTGCAAGATGTGAGAGTATATGAGCCATCACAGCAGTTTGTGGGCCAATTATAGCTACTGTATCAGACTCCATGAACTTCAATGCTGTGATCAACAATGAAATAAGCATTATAAATACAAAGTACTTGAGACAGCCCAATTAGTTAAAACAGCAGGCATACAGAAGATTTAAAAAATAATAATAATTACCTCCAATGATGCCTAGAAATCCACTGAAGTTTGAATCATGAAAAGTTAAAGATAATTTAGTTCCACCAAGAATGGTTGGATCAGAGTTCACATCATTCACAGCAGCCTCAATGGCAATCTTTGAGACTCTTCCATTGATGGTGCCTACGGTGCACATAGCTCCAACGTTCACGGCAGCAGGTCTTGAGGCCCCTTCTGTGGAGCCTGGTATGCAGATAATGAGTATTGAAACGACCCAAACTAGATTCATTGTGATACTATTCTAAGCACCTCCCCAAGTTTCTTATATTCAAAGAAAATGAATGAATGGAACCACCAAATTCAACTTCAAAGTCATCACTTTCTATGTCAAAGTGAACTACAAGAAACTTAAAACTCAAGCAGTAGCATTTTCAACTAGGAGCAAAACAGCACCACCCCATCATTCAGAAAGCATAAAGAAGGAGAAATACCAACTGGAAGTTTAGACAAACAGAACCAAACGCAATAAATAATCAAAATTATGAGCTGTGCTACTTGAAACCCAAAAGCAACAGACAGACAATAGGGCAAACCAAAAGCACAAATCTGTCTCACTAAAGTAACATCTTGGACATATAAGGAATGCCCACGAAGCTCATCTCATGAAAAAAGTGAAAACTCAGGTGGTTTCAGTGTGTCTCAAGGAATCCACACTCACCTCAAAGTTAAAGTAAGGGGGGTGGGGGTAGACAAGGAAGAGGAACCAGAGGCAGAGCTTAGAGTTTGGGGTACACAACCACCTATTCTGAAAAGCAAGGAAGATAGATTAATGAATTGAAATAGCAAGTGACATACAAAGACAGAAAAGGAAATATAAATTAAATATAAAGAAAAATGAACACTCACTAAAGTAAAGCTAGAGAGTCAAAACTCACAAGAAAGGAGGAGGCCAATTGGAGCAGAGGGAAAGATAGTTCCATTATTTAATTCTTGTGATGAGAATACTTCAAACTGGGGAAAGAGAGCAACTTGGGCATATGGTTTTCCACTTGATCTTTGTGGTGTTGTACTGAGTTTGCTTGTCTTTTGTATCAGTCACTCTTCAGAACAATGGCTGAATTGTTTAAATATAGTGGGAGACAGGGATGGTGATGTTGGGTGAAGGCAAGAAGAATGTAGTTTAAGGGATGACAATTATTATTATTATTATTTTTAATGGGGCCTTTTGTAATGTTATTATTCTTTGGTTTGAATCATAGATATGGTGATGGACAATTAGTGTAAGTTTGGTATTTGTACCATTGGATAAATTGTTATACCATGGCAGGGTGAAAGGAATATTATAACATGCTGTCTCTGAGTTGCTTTGATAAAAGTGGTCTGAAATTGGATTGAAGGTTTACACCTTACATGGCCTATTTACTAAAATAGGTCTATAGTTAGTGGTGCTTTTGTCAGATCAGTAGAAGCTTCCCTACTTTTGCTTAGATTTTTTGAAGTTACCAAACAGCATGGCTACCATGAGAGAATCAATAACAATCATAGATTCGCAATATGTTTGATTTCTAATTGTGATTCTTGGCACAGTTTTATATACACAAATGATAACATAAAACTGCATCTGCAATGTTAGTCGCATCTAATTTTCTTTTCTAACATAAAATCAATGGCCCAATTTTTTTTTTAAAATTATGAATCATCTGTGCATAGATGTTTATTCAATCAATTTAGTGAACAACCAGGGTGTTTCAATTATATGTTTGCAAATTCTTTCCTGATGTGCCAACTGACAATTTCATGGTTTGAATTATACAACCAAAATGGTCTATTTCTAAAAGGAAGTTTCTTATGGCACCTTCTTGATTCACAGAAGGATGCTTGAAAATATGTCCAGTTTGCATAGACCCTGCTCCAATGGTAATCTTGATATTTAGCTTATGTTAAGACAAACCAGCCAAGAAATGACTGAATGAATCATGGGCCTCAATAAATCACCACAATTATGTTTTGAAAGTG